GAAATCTATTCTAGCCCCTATAGAACTACAGGATTTCACAGAACTTGGAAATTTCCAAGTTCCAGGAAGTTATGTTTACAAATTCCCAAGAGCTGAGTCACCATGGAGAGGACCTGGCAGGTGTATCCTGGTGGTCTTCTTGAGAAGACCTGTTCTCCTGGACCTCACCCTTCTCTTCTTGGGGATCCTCTGTCAATACTATTTTACCACAATAAAAGAAAACAAAGGGGATGAATGTATGAGTCTTTAAAAAAAGGAAACTAAAAAGAATACATCTTCTCTTACATTCTTTTAAGAACCTGAGACTGGACAGTGTTACTCTGCACTCTACAAGAAAAAGCAAAAGACATGAAATTAGAAGACTTGAATTTATGTAATATTTGTTCTGCCATGAATGAGTTGTATGGATTTTGATAAATCTTTTATAAACAATCTTAGCTGTGGTTTCCTTATGTTTAATATGACTGTACTTATCCTTAACTCTCAGGAATTTCATGAGGCAGAAATGAGGTTTTGTTTATATCTATATATGTCCTTTGTAAATGGTAAATAAATTGGTAGTATTTAGGTAGAATTTTTTTAAACTTTCAAAACAGTGATTTATTGAACTAACTTGGTATTGGATGTAAGAATTTGGCTTCAGCTATTTCCTATTGAAATAATTTAAAAGTTTTCTAAATTGCTTATTGTAAACTTTGTTTTGTTACTTGTAAAACTACAGCTGTTTTCTCCGCCAGCATAATTAATTGAGAATGGAAACATTCAGCATTGACTTGGAGAGTTACTCTTCTTATTGGCATTATTTAATTCCCAGTTTTCATATTCTTGGCATCTTTGCTTAACAGGTTCTCTTCATACTGCTGAAGAGAAGGCCTCCTAGGCTGCCTGCAGTAGATACTGGATAATTGGCTTTTCCTTTCCTACTTGAAGTCAGTGAGTTAAGTAACAATAATCAAGAAAAGTTTATGCAGTGGGACAGAGAATAACAGACTGAGTGTGATAGAATGATGAAGTCATAAACCAGATTTGAGGAACAGAAGTTGTATTTATCTTGGGTATTGATTAAATTGCATTTTTGAATGCTCACCATCAGTGAACTAAAATATTTTTTCCTCTATGAATAAGAAAATGAGTTAGAAGAACTCAATATTTATAATTTACAGAGATGTTTTGCAAAAATAAGGATAGGATGTAAGAAAATGATCAACAGAAAGTTCACCTCAGAAAGAAGCTCTTTGGGGTAGGTGTGGTAATCCTAGTACCCTGGGACGCTGAGGCAGGAGGATCACTGGAGCTCAGGAATTTGAGACCAGCCTGAGCAAAAGCAAGACCCCGTCTCTACTAAAAATAGGAAAATTAGTTAGTATGGTGCCACATGCCTATAGTCCCAGCTACTTGGGAGGCAGGAGGATGGCTTGAGCCCAGGAGTTTGAGGTTGCTCTGAGCTCTGAAGACTCCACTGCACTGTCCAGGGCAACAGCTAGGAATCTGTCTCCAAAAAAGAAAGAAAGAAAGAAAAAGCAGCAGCTTTTTAAATGAGATAAGGAAAAAAAAATCAGTATACTGAATATTGTCCCCTTATACAGTAGTCCCCTATAGTTCATTTTCCATGATTTCAGTTACCTGAGGTCAACTGCTTTTCAAAAATAGGTGAGTATAGTACAGTAAGATATTTTGAGAGAGAGACCATATTCACATAACTTTTATTATAATATATTGTTAAAGTTAATCCATTTTATTATCAGCTATTATTAACCTCTTACTCTGCCTAATTTATAAATTTATAAATTAAATTTTAGCATAGGTATGTATTTGTGGGGGAAAAACATTACATGGAGGAGTTGGTGCTATCTGAGATTTTAGGCAGCTGCTGGGGATCTTGAAACATATCCCCCAAGAATAAGGGGGGCTACTGTATTGTCCTAGGGAATTAATCATTCTGTGGGCGTGGGAGAGTTTAAAGTGGAGAAGTAACAACATCAGGATCTGTGTTTTAGAAATATCAGCCTAGGCTTGGCACCTGTAGCTCAAACGGCTAGGGTGCCAGCCACAAACACTGGAGCTGGCGCTTTCGAGCCCAGCCTGGGCCTGTCAAACAACAGTGACAACCACAACCAAAAAAATAGCCAGGTATTGTGGCAGGTGCCTGTAGTCCCAGCCACTTGGGAGGCTGAGGCAAGAGAATCTCTTAAGTCCAAGAGTTTGAGGTTGCTGTGAGCTATGACGCCACATTACTCTACCGAGGATGACATAGTGAGATTCTGTCTCAAAAAAGAAAAAAAAAAAATAGAAATGTCAGCCTAAAAGAATGCTGAAGACAGAATGGAGAATGCAGACCAGGAAAGATATTTAATAAGTTGGGTGAGAAGGGTCTCATGTATTTATGCACCAGATATTTATATATTTGTATTTGTACACCATATAAACTCCACTGTGCACCAGACTCTGTTCTAAGCAGTGAGATAGAGCATTAGCAGAAACTGGACCCTGCTTACATGGCTTACATAGTGGGAAGAGCCAGAGGACAAACAAAATTCACAATATGTTAGACGGCGAAAAGTCCAATAAAGAAAAATAGAGTCGAGTAAGGAAAACGTGATGCTAAACGCGAGGGTGTCTGAAAATACATAAATTCTATAGTGATTTTCAGGGTTTGCTTTTAAATTCTATTACCACATAAACAGCTTAAGCATTGCATTTCGATGGCATTCATGTGAATATAATTAGAAATAAAATTTCTGTATTCAACTAATAAATTCCTCCCCTAGAGAGGTCCCTAGGGAATATATTCTTTCCAAAATAACAAGGCAAAAAGTCTGACAAATAACTAGATAAAACTAGAAGTCTTTACACCAGACCAGAGCTTAAGGGAAGTTTAGCTTAGTCCTCTGTGCACAGTATATTGTAGCAAATAACAGGTTTGGTTTACACTTAAAAAATCAGGAAGTTATAAGGAAAAACAGATGATGCCACACAGGGATAATTCAAACCTTACTTGGCTTTAGACTTGATCATTCAAGTCCCGTGGGAATCCCTGCTCTTCCCC